AAACAAGGAGTCCTTGTGGTCACCTTACAGAGACTAACACCTTTATTTGGGCATAAGCTTTCATGGGCTAGAACCCACTTCATCAGTTATAGCCCATGAAAGCTTATGCCCAAATAAATGTGTTAGTCTCTAAGGTGCCACAAGGACTCCTTGTTTCTGCTGATACAGACTAACACAGCTACCCCTCTGAAACCTGTCACAATATTTCAAAGTTTCCCTTAGAGCTTTTTGAAATCTCCTCTTTCAGGGAACATAATTTCCTTCACCTTAACTCATAATTTAGATTCTTGACATCTGCTACCATCTTTGTAGTTCTTCACTGCACACCCTACAAGATCTACTGTATGAAGAGCTGCTCATCATTTTTCTGAACACCATGGTTTTCATTACAGAGTTGCCTTCTTTCAAAAACAAAATATTTCATGAAGGGCTGTTGATTTTTTCCCAACAGTTCCAATTTTTTATTATTTTTCTTTGCAAAAAATGATGTGACTTTTTTATTGAAAATTGATCAAATACGTTAGGAAAACTTACTGAAATAGTTATCAAAATTTAGCATTTAGAATTTTGATCATATCTTTGATAAAAATTTCAATAAAAAACACACAAAACTTGAAAAAGTGGAAAGTGGGTCAATTTTGGAAGTGGGAAACAATTTGAATATTTTTTAATAATTTCTCTTTAAAAATTTGCTACCCGCTTTAGTGCTGTGGTAGTCAGGACTGCATACGGTGTTCCAGATGGGACTAACATATTTCAGAAAGTGCATAATAGCATAAAGCCCTGTATTTTGAAGCATTTCACAACCTTCTGTTGAAAAGCTACAATCTATTGCCTTTGATTGCTTTGGTGGCACTATTAATTGGCATGACTTTGAATACCAGCTCAGTATACCAATATTTTTTTTAAAACTGGGGCCAATGTACTTAGGTAAAGATTTAAAAAAATGTACCTTGGTTATAAAGACAAGCAAAAACAATGTTTGTCCATAAATGTAAACAGGAGAGATGCTAACAGAAGATGAGTTAATCCCATGATTATTCCAATACACCTCTCTTGCTTTGATTGCTTCTATCTTGAGTTCATTTATTTCACATGAAATGGAGTTTTTTAAAGGCTTTATAAAGACTCCTTCCTTTTATTTAAATATTTCTTTTCCCCTCTTCCATGCCTTGACTGCATGAATGTTACAAATGAGTACGGATAATGGAACCATCTGTGCATTTTCTTTAGACAAATGGAACCACTGAAGCTATCAAGGATTCTGACCACATACATATTTTTCATATTGTCCAGTTCATCAAAAAGGAGGTTTTAACCTGAGTTCATATATGCTTGTTTTCTCTTGTATTAACTACCCCCAACAAAAGTGCTACAGATGTATAGCTTTCTTATTAAGTACAGGAGCGTGAAATCAAAGAAGACTGTGTCCCTCGAGTGATATTTAACAGAGGTTGGATTCATGTTGGTTCAGTCACATCTATAGAGTTGGCCTTCTTATTTTTGTTCTCTGTTTCAGAAGTGGCTTTTGTCTTAGGTGAACAATCAAAAGAGAACATGGAACTGAACATGAATATTTGTGTCTTCCAAAAGCACCAATATTTGGAAGTTGGAATATCTTAAAGCCACAGCACTTTATTCTCTGAAACATAAATGAAAATGGGATGAGTGTTAGGGTCCCACCTCATCACGTGCATGTTACTCATTTCTAATACTGCGCTCTTTTGGCTAAGGGCTTCTACACCATTGAACCCTCTGCTTTTCCTTTGTTACCCAGTGCTTCGGGCGCTATTTGAAGTAGTTGAGTCCTGCCACGAGGAAAAACTTCTCCAGGAAAAGTTCAGAGTCCAGCACGGCTATGTGGGCGGCCCGTCCAATCAACGTGTTGGCAGTGTTGGGGAGCGCATGGAACACGTTGTGTCTGATTAAAGTGCAGTCCTTTGCCCCGACCAAAGGCTGGAGGAGGTTGTTTATCATCTCTGCGTAAATGGGACCTGAAAGAGATTTTAAGAGGCAGTGAAAGTGTTAGTGACTTGGTGATGGGTCTTCTCCGCTCAGTGCAATTATACCCTGGCACCCTGAATGGGGAAACCTGAAAGGTGCCAGGACATTGGATTCTAGAGGACAGTCCATCAGGAAGATGGATCAAATGCCATATTACTGCTAATCGGAAGTGGATCCATGGCATACAGAGCAGCCTGATGGGTCTGCTAGGATTATTAGTTTGAAGTTCTGGGTGTTACGCTGTATAAAGTACCTCAGGACTCACGCCTGATCCCATTGAGGTGAAGAACAAAAAATTATCTTCTCAGAGGTAACAGAATTGGACCCTTCCTTCTCTGTAAGGTAGAGTTCAGATGGGCTAGCAATGGGGCATGGGGCATACAGCTCCTTTGGGACTCGACGGGGAACCAGCTAAGGCCAGAACACCCTGCCTGTCTATTCCAGAACACTAACTTGAGGTGTTTTTAGGAGGCTGGTGAAGAAAGCAGGTAATGCTCTGTAGGGATTTGAATGATTTATATTGAATCTGGATCTGGGTCCTATTGGGACTTGTGTTTTCCTGTGAGAGGAATGCCTGAGGAATGGGTGGGAAGATGTCCTTCCCTCCTCAACTTATGTCCGGGCTGGGGGAAAGCAGTGGGGGAAGCAGAGGGAAAGAACTACAGCTGAGAGACTGATAATACCAGGCATCATTTTTGACCTGTTGGTCATGGATGTCTCTTCTCACGTACACCAGCGTAAATCAGGAATAACCTAATTCAAATCAATCATTCACATGAAACCGGTGGCAGAAGAATCAGACTGCTATGCATTTGCCATTATTTATGACAGGTCCATTAAAATGGAGCTGTGCGGTGGCCTCTAAATGAACAGTGTGTTTGTTGATAATAAAAGGGAATTCGCAGGGACAAAGACAATCTTGGTAAAAGCAGAGGAGGTGTCTCCTCTGATGTCAAGGGATTTGCTCCAAGTCTACAAAACCCAGAAAGGATTTCGGATGGGACCGAGACTTAAATCATAAGGGCTATGATCCAATGTCTATTGAAAATAAAGAAAAGACTCCCCTTGACTTCAGTGGGCTTTGGACTAGGCTCATGCTGAGAAACAAAGGAGAAAGAAGAGTGGTAATTCAGCAGGCTGGTAAACAACAATGCTGGCAACAAATTCTACCATAGAACACTCATAGGGGTGGAAGGGACCTCGGGAGGTCATCTAGTCCAACCCCCTGATTTTTGCCCCAGATCCCTAAATGGCCCCCTCAAGGGTTGAACTCACAACCCTGGGTTTAGCAGGCCAATGCTCAAACCACTGAACTATCCTTTCCTCCCTTAGTAGCATAATCATCACCACTTTTTAAACAGAAATGGCGGGGGGAAGCCTTTGATTACAATCTTGAATGAAATTTGTTTTCATCACGCAAAAAGCTTTATACATAGGTCCTGTATTGATTTCAATAGCTTCCTATTGGACGAGAAAATTGTCCGGCTTAAGTTTTCAATTATTTTTTAAACGGTGAATGCAAAAAATCATTCTGATGCAACATCCTCAGCTGTACAAAAGACCTAAACAAACAACCAATCAACTCAATGATTTTGTGAACACAGGCAGGGTCTTATCATACCTGTGTGCCGGTCTTTAAGTGCGGTTTTGCACATTTCTATCCTTGCTGAATGGAATGGGACATATCGATCCTGGGGAGATGCCACCAACACAACATTTTTAAAGTACTGAAGACCTGTAACAAAGAAATACATCAAAAATTGTATATCTCAGCAATCTATCAAAACAACAAATCTACACACATGTTAACAGGAGTATTGGAGAGACAAGGTGGGTGAGGGTAATATCTTTTATTGGACCAACTTCTGTTGGTGACAGAGACAAGCTTTCGAGTTTAGACAGACTCTTCTTCAGGAGTATGGCATGATTGCATGTGTTTTAAAATGTACAACATAGTCGAGGAAGAATAATTATATATGTAGCATACTTCTAAAGAACAGTACAGTAATAGCGTAAACTACCGATGTCACTGTTGTAAGCTGTGATGTAATTAGCTCTTTCTAACATCCATGTGGATCAGATGCTTAACGGGAAGAAGTAACGGCACTGCCCCTGCTCCAAAGAGCTTCCAGTCTAAGTTCCCGATTTTGCAAATTCCTATGCATATGAGCAGCTTTACAAACATGAACTGCCCCATTCAGTTCAATGGGAATTCTTGTGCGAGTGTTTGTAGGATCAGGGCCTAAATTGAGAAACGAAGCAAACAAATTAGCATCATAAATGAACACAAAAATGTGGTGGGAAAGAGACAAAGGTGCAGGCTCACGGTAATGATATCCCATGGTTACTTAGCAAGGGGGTTAAGCAGCGGGATAGTTCAATTACATTAGGGATTTTGTTCTTGGGTCTTTTGTTTTTTTAATTGTCAGAGGTGACGGCAGAAAAGAGATTTTTAAGGGGAATCTGAATGAGCGTTGATATTCTTACTGTAGACTCTGGAGTAGGTTTATTTTTAAATAAGGATCTGGGCATTATTTTCTATTGAGTAATTAAAAGCCCATGGTGTTGAGACTGCACTGCTGTAATTTACGATTTTTTTCTCTGTTAATGTATTGTGAAGTCATCTTGACCAGCCAAGATGGATGAATTCAGTGTGCAGTATCAATCACTGCTTGTTCTAGTACACCAGCTGTGTATACAGTGCTAGTGACGGATCAATCAAAAGCCTGTTGAGCACACCCCCATTAAAGCAAGGGAAGTCTTCACACATAGCGCTCCACCCTACAAGATTCACGGAGTAGCACAGGGGTCGAGTCAGGACCGGATCCACAAATCAGTGAAGTCAGTGGGATTTCAGTGGGTTTTGGACAAGGCTCACAGGCTGCAGACTGGTGTGATTGCAAGGCTGTATTTCAGGAAGCGACACAGTTGGGGGAAGGACACAGGTATGCATATGATCGGGGTAGGGTAGGAGAGACAGTGGTCTGTAAGTTAAAACACAAGCCTGGGAGTGGTGAGACCTGCATTCACTTACTACCACTATTGCAGACTTTGTTGTGAGATATTGGGCATCTCCCTGAATATGAGTAGGGCTGCACGGTCTAGAGGAATGAGCACTGGCAAGAGACTCAGGAACTCCTGAGCTCTATTGCTAGCTCTGACTCGCTCTGTGGTTTTGCCAAGTCACTTGGCTTCTCTGTGTCTTTATGTGTAAAATGAGAATACTAGTACGTAACTACCTAGCTCTTAGGAGTGTTCTTAGCATCTGCTCAGCATTTGAGGGTGGCAAGTACTAAGTGACGCAGTTATTGGGGAACCACACCTCTGACTTCTCTTGGGCTCATCGATTGCATCCCTCTCTGAGGTCTTGGGCCTCCAGCTGTCACCTGAACTCAAGGCTGAATCATGCAATTCTTCCCTTAATATTAAGTTCTGGGTGGCAGTGACCCAGGTGCTAGCAGTGATTGCTTTAGCAGGTCTGACTTGGGCTCAGACCCTGCAGTTCTGTTCCCTGCAGGGCAATGACAGTGGTAACTAGTGACCCAACTGCTTCCTTAAAGCAAAGTATTGTTTATCTAGCAGAACAGCATCTAAGAAAAAGCATGTCTTATAAACAACAGAGTGGCCTATACACGTCTGCTTACCAGGTGTCTAACCATCACCTAACTCCCTGTAGACTCTTCTGCAGAGCCTCTTTGTCAGCTTGTCTTCCTGACCAATGACACTCCCTGGACAGCCCCGTAGCAACTCACTTCCTTCGCGGGATCAAGACTTTTTATAACTGTTTAAAGTCCTTTTAATCTCTAGCCTCCCAGTCAGGCAAAACGGCTGTGTCTCTTTGGCCTACAGCCTGGAAGGATGCCATTGTCTTTCAAGTGTGTGCTTGGGTGTTCTTATCTGGGACCTACTGTGTTGTCTGCCTCTCCAGATCCAGTTGAATTCAAGCATTCTAGGTGTATGATAAATGTACCACTACCACCAATATAAATTAGATCAATACAGTCATACGGGAAATTCGAATCATCCCAACATACAACAACTTCCCCTCATAAAACTATTACACAGCAATATTCATAGCATTATGACATATCAGCGCCACATCTGTCATGAGAAGTATTATTAAAGAATAGCATTTGATTTTACAAATAGCCCTTTTCCTTCTGGCAGCCTGGACCAGTATTTCATGGGTGATTAATTAAATATCAGGAGTGACATGCATCCGAAGAAGTGGGCTGTAGTCCACGAAAGCTTATGCTCTAATAAATTTGTTAGTCTCTAAGGTGCCACAAGTCCTCCTGTTCTTCTTTTTGCGGATACAGACTAATACGGCTGCTACTCTGAAAGGAGTGACAGTGTAGGCAAATATGTACAGCACTTGACCACTCCCATACAGACGTCTGCATTAGTAGGAATGTTCTACTGAGAGAGGGAATTCTGGCTAGGACACTAGGATTTGGTCCAATTTTTTCTGAAAGAGCTTCAGTTCAGTTGATCATGGACAGACTGAGGTGGGGCTAATGGGGCCTCTCTTTAGCATTACAGCGGAAGGCTGATAACTCTCCCTCTGGCATTGAACTGTGGTGTCAGCAATGGGCTTAAATAAAAGCATTACTGGGGACCTAGATTCAAACATCCTGGGTCCTAGAGGTGAGAATTAGGGCTGTGTGAATAATGATTTTTTTTGTCCATTGGCAATTCTTTTTTTAAAAAAAGGAACAAATGTTTTGGGTTGAACCAAAAACTTTTTTTTTTAAATTTGGCTACCCCCTTATTCCCCCCCCCCAAAAAAATCATTTAGATGTTGAGCCTTTTTAACATTTTTGATTTAAAAAAAAATTAGGGGAAGTTTTGAAGCAAAAAGGAATTTGGAACCAAACAATCAAAATGGTTTGTTTTTAAAATGTCTAGAGAAAATGTTTTGACTTTTTGGAAACTTTTTAGGGATTTTTTTGGATGAAACGATTCAGCAAAACCAACAAAAATTATCAAACTGCTTCAGTATCATCAAATCTGCATTTTTCACCAAAAGGTCTATGTGTCAACTCTCAGCCAGCTCTAGTGAATGTAGGGTGACCAGACAGCAAGTGTGAAAAATCGGGACAGGGGGTGGGGGGTAATAGGAGCCTATATAAGAAAAAGACCCTAAAATCGGGGCTGTCCCTATTAAATCGGGACATCTGGTCACTCTAAGTGAATACTTCCAAACTAAGCCAAACAAAACAATACAGTTTTTGCCCTTTAGCAATATAAATTAGGTTGTAGCAACCTAATGACACCACTAGTCTTTGCTTACAGAGTGTGCACATAGAGATGGGCCTGAACTACAGCATTTGTATTCAGTTGCAAATTGACCAAAGTTTGGTGGGGAGCATTTGGCAACTCCATTCCATGGTGATGTCCACAATAGAAATGCATAGGTAAAATGGATTAGATCAGACAGAGGAGTCCATTAAATAATTTTGCTTCAGGCCCATCTCCCCTTGAGGCCAACGATTAGCAAAAATCACTGATCAAACACGGATGACTTCCTTTATTTCCTGAAGAGCATCTCGGCACGGGACAACACTTTGGAGAATTTGCTCTCCACCCAGACATTTACTCACCTGTTTTTTGGCTGAGCTGGTACAGGAAACATTTGCGGAGATCTGCATTGTCCCTGAAGGTCAGCTGCAAAAGTGACCCTGATTTTTTCAGCTTCTGCATGAGCCATAGGCCTGGAATGACAATTGACGTGCAGGTTTACCGTATTCGTAATCATCAGACCAAACGTCCCAAAATTAAAGAATCCCTTCCACGGTTCATAAATTGTGACTGAACATTCTTGGGCTAGAAGTGCCAAGGCAACTGCCCATCAGTACTCTACATTTCTTCTTGTGCTAGTGGCCAGTGGCTAGAAAACCTCAGGGCCATTTTGTAGTCTCTGCTTCCATGAGTAGAGAACAGAAGGATCTAGGAGAGCTATGACATTATTCTCCCATTACATTATTTTACCCCCTTACTTTTGCAGGTACTGTACTGATGATTCCAGAGGCAGCTGTTGGTCAGGGAATTCCCTGACCTTGGGGCTCATGCAGCAACAACGTTATTCAGGTAGCAGAGTGGTGGTTGGGAGCTGAGATTCAATGCACAGGTGGAAGCACCTAACCTCAGCCCCCATATGCAGGCTTTCCTGATCCGGGAATTCTGATTGCAGCTAAACACAAACCCAAAGCTAAACTCAAGTGGTTGGAGATCTGGTGTGAATATTTCCCACAGCTCTGGTTAGTGACACACACAAACACTAGGCAGTACCACTGCCCCATTCACACAATGGTCTCTTACAGGTACTGCTACACACAAAAGCAAATCGTAGCCTTTTTCATTAACTCTTACCTGTACTAACCAAAGTACTGTTGTTGTACAGGGTCCCTAGGTGAGGCCCAGAGAGGGACAGGAAGGTGTGTAACTTGTTGAGGTAATAGCGAAACCTTGGCCGAGTTAATACTGATCGGATGATGACGTTACCGAGGGAATGACCAATGAAACTGTCGGAAGAGACAAAATGACACACAAACAAAGAACAGTCTATATATTCCTTAACTTCAAAATGTGTGTGGCATGCACTGCTCTCTCTTGCTCTATGTGGATTGGCTCTGCCTCCAAAAAGATTGTTCATTAATGCCCTTTAGTCATGTTTTCCCATCTCCTTTATCCTCCATGACATTTCCAGCTCAGCAGCTGCTCTGCCAGGTCTGGACAAAACCAACGTCTTAATACACATTGTGAAGCCCATTAAGTCTATGGAAAAACTCCCATTGACATGAAGGCTTTGGCTCAGGCCCCATATAATGGAGATGATTCTATTGAACATTACTGTGCTCTGTCACATCCAATTAACTGTCAGTGTGTTTTACCTTATCCGGGAGATGGACAGGTTGTACAACTGGATATGTTGAATAATTTCATCCAGTAATCGGTCAGTCATCGAATCAAAATCAGCAAAAGTATCAGTCTGGTGAAGAGAGAATGGTGTCAACTGATGACATAACTGTCAATGTATTGCATTGCGGTACAAAAAAACCCTAGACAAATGATATTTCTGAGGAAAAATACAAGCAATAAAATAAGAACATTTCAAGACTTCTTTATGCATCATAAAGAGGCAAGGGGGAAAAAAGGCACAGAGCCAATTTTTCTCATTCGCTAGGTCCCCTGGAAGTTGCATTTCTTCTCCCAAAAGTGACAGTGTAAAAGCGGCTTCAAGGAGTTCCATGTTTATTGTCTGTCAATGATTCCATATTAAATATGCTCTGTTTGCAAGCAAACAGATTTGATATTTCCCCCCCCCTCAGGGTTAATGTTGCAAACTCACTCAGGCTGGATACATCGTTAACAGTAATGAAGGATCTATAGGCCAAATTCTGCCCATAGTGACATTTGTGGAAGCCCACTGCCATCGGGGGCTTACATGGGTGTAACTAGTTGGAACGTAGTGAGCAAGTCTGTTGATGATGCAGAAGGAGGAATATATTCCAGCTCATGCTCTCCTAGCTGCATTGGCTCAGCAGGGCTAACAGGAGTAAAGGCAGACAAACTCATTTTAGTCTCTAAAAGGGACATGACTCTGAACACACAAAGTGATCAGATTTGTTGAGTAAGACAACCCCCTTTTTACATAGTCATTTTATGTAATAGAACCACACCGTAAGGATCACAGTAATGACACACAAGTTGCTTAGGCCAATATTATTAGACTAAGGTTCGTAAAGTGACCTGAGTTGCGATCAGAGGGGACTGCAGATGCTCAACCCCTCTGAATATCAGCCCACTTATGTAGGAGACCAAGCATATGTCTACACGTAAGCTACTACACTGGCACAGCTGCAGGTGTGCTGCTGTAGCACTTCAGGCTATGTCTACACTAATGAAATCACCCCATACGAGTGGTGGTAGCTATGTCGGCAGGAGAGCATCTCCTGCTGACAGCACTGTCCACACCAGTGCTTTTGTCAGTGAAACTTATGTCGGTCAGAGGTTTGCCGACAACAGTGCTAGGGTAGACAAAACCTAAATGTAGACGCTACCTACACCAACGGGAAGGGTTCTCCAGTCAGCGTAGGTAATTCCCGAGAGGTGGTAGCTAGTAAGAGTTCTTCCGTCTCCCTATCACTATCTACGCCAGGGGTTAGGTTGGTGTTACTGTGTCTCTCAGGGGTGTGGATTTTTCACAGCCCTGAGAGACGCAGCTATATTGATGTAAGTTCCTACTGTTGACCAGCCCCAACTTTAGCATTTAGGATTTAGTGGATTATCACGCTAGACTAGTCTATAGTATTATAAACTGACCCTAACAAAGTTATCAAAAAAAGTTTATGCTGCTATCACACAATACCATGTGGTGTTTGACAGTTAATCAGTAGCATGATGAGTGTCAGCAGGGTATTTAAGTTATTTATTGCCGATGGCAATACTGCCATTTGTGATACAACAAAACAAACTATAAATTGTCTAGTCTACAGAACTGCAGGAGAGTATTTTTAGTTTAGAACTGTGTCAGGACTCTAAATCAAATTCAAAACTAATGAGATGCCAGGGAAACAATCATCAAGTGTTGGAACAGATATTTAGGGAAAACATATCTAGTAATTAATGCTTCTGTGACAAAATTCATCTCACTAATTGCAGCTCTTGCAAAGGAGAACATGACCATCTCCAATTTCCAGTGCTGCCTTAAAATAAATGTTCTCATAAACAAAATACAGTCTACTAACCTCCTGCCTGTTTGTTTTGTCTGCATCGATAATTAATGATTTCCTCCTAAGCTCATTATCTTGAATCTTGTAGGTTATTTAGAAGTGGAAAAACACCACCCCAAGTGTAAGTCCTAGACACAACACACACAGAGTCCTCCTATTTCACTCGTCTGTGTTTCCATCCCTCAATATCACTTCAGTGCCTTTCCAAATGACATAGATTCACATTTTTCCCTGTAAGGCAAAATTTGGCTAGACAGCTCGCACTGCGGATCTGTTACAGTCTCCATATGGCTCTCTGTTGCGGGGAGGAAAGAGGACATGGCGGCTAAAAGCATCGCGGGAGGAGTCAAGAACTCAGTTCCTAGTGCTGCGTGCACTTGCTCTGTGACCTGCGGCAAGCTGCTTGCTTTGCTGTGCTCCGGTTTCCCAAACTATAAAATGAGGGTGATAGTGCCTCACCACGCACGCTGAACAACAGCAGACGGAGGTGCGGTAAGACTGAACTCTTTCACGTTTGTAAAGTGCACTGAGAATCTTTGGCGAACGTGCAAAATATTATCCTCATGAATGTTACTTTCCGTGCATTCTGTATTCCGAGAACGGCTACTCACATCAACAGGAACTTGAACAGGGTGAGAACACAGGTGTTCAGTTGCAACCTGCCTTTGGATAAGAGATCTGCACTGCAAACCAAATTGGAACATTTTGCCCTGAAGTTTCCCGGTAGAACAGATGAATGCTTTTGCCTGGACACTGAAATCCTTGCTCTGTTTATGAATGTGGCCCTTTATGTAACTAAATACGCTGCATCACATGCATGTAGGGCAGAGCACGGAGTTCATTTCTGCTGCTCTGCATTGCACAGGCAATGGATTACCTTTCTGGAGGGCATTTCTTTATCATACGAGCAAATAAATCACAGTATACACAAAGGAAACAACTGTTTGATGCTTTAGCTGAAACCAGCAGTACCGACTTCCCCAAGCAGACCGTAGCATCCTCTTGAGCATTTAGAATTAACATCACCAGGCTGGCTGTTTTTTTAGTTCTGCATAATTTTGCACATCATACAACAGATGGATGTATCAGATTGTTGTACTTGCCATTTAACATGATGTTTTTAATTATCTCCTTTCCGAAGGTCAGATCCTTGGACCACTGATGCCAATGGACAGTTTACTACTAACTTCAGTGGCGATAGGATCAGGCCAGCAACAGCTGCCTTCCAATGGGGAAAAGTACCATTGATTTGAGTGGGAGCTGATGCAGGATATCCATGCTAAATCCTGCACCCCTCACAAAACTCCCAATGGGCCCTTTCCCAAAGATGTGTAGGTTTTGGCCCTAAGCCTTTGAAATGTACAATTCCTGATACCTGCTCTGCAAGGCCTAAGTTTCAGTGACTTCAATGGGACTGCAGGGGACATAAAGGGGTGCAGAAACTGGCCGTATATTACCTGGTTTCTTTCAGACATTAGGAAGTCCAGCTTTCCACCGGGGAGTCCCAGTTCTATAAAAGTCTTTACCAGTCGCAGGTCTGCGCTGTTCCCTAAAAAGAAACAGCACTTGATAAGAGATTTCATTTCACAATTGGGTAAAGACGACAGATTCTGTTCACTATGTTCTTTTCAAATCTCAACACTGTCCCTGGAGTTGTCGCGGTCAGTGCGGCTGTGACTGATGGCTCACTACATTATGGTTAGCCCCGACACACCCATGCAGGGGAGCAGCAGTGGGACAGGAATCCCCACAAACTTTGCAGCTGCCTGAGGGCTCTCTAGATCTTTGCTGCAGATGTTCCCCGGGAAGTGAAGGGATGGGAACTGGCAGGGAGTAGGAATTCCAATACCTCTGCCACGTCACCCCCTATTAGCTGGCCAGCAGAGATGGGGGAATAAGCTGCTCTTTTAAGAGCGACGGCAAATAACTCCCTTTCATTCCCAAGCAGAACAGGGAACACCTAGGACACATTGTGACCCCAAGGGGTGAGTCTGAGGCATAGTGTCTGCCATGACTTACACACAATCCAGCCTTCCTGTGTCTCTGCTTGCTGCATATGCTATGCAGTGAATACTCACCTTCCCCAGAGCCACCCACCTTCTCTCCTTCAGTGACAGCATGTAAACCAAGTTTTCTTTTTGCTGGATGATATTTTGCTAAATGATTGGACGGTTGTGAAATGCCAAGGAAGGGGCTGACAATTTTACTGGGTTTAGGGGGCACAAATCTGTCAAAATTCTCCATTTTGTAACAAAAGCATTTGTGGAGTAAATGTTAGAATTTCTGCTCGGATCCTTTCCAGCAACGTTAGACAGACCAACATACTATGGGCCAGATCCTTGGCTGGTGTAAGTGACACCCGTGGACTATGCTGAGTTACACCAGCGGAGGATCTCAACGTCTGTATTTTTTAATATGAATAAACTCCATGAGGCAATTCCATGATGCACAGCATCTCTCTCGGGCCTTACCATCCAGTCCATGGACACAGACAACCAGGTGAATTCCATCTTCCAAATTTTCTTCCTCTTCCTCTGGTGGAAAATATGGGATATCAGAAGCTAGTACAGATAAGTCACTGTACAGAAATCCTTCAATCTTCAGTTCTTTTTTAAACTTTTCTTTGGCCTGATAAAAACTGGAGAATACACTAATTAATCACACGGAGAACTGAGTGTTCAACAGTAAAACCTTTAAACTAGGAATGAGCACTTGCAACACATTCCCTTTGCAACTTTGCAGGTGAAGGCCTGTATACTCTGTCCTACGGGTTAGGGTGACTAAGGGAGGTCGGGATGGGCGGGTAGATAGCTTGTGATCCAAAAGGGAATGAATTACCTCTCGTGGGAGAGATCCTCCCAGGGGTACTTCATCTGCTAGAGTCCAATGCTGGTTTGCTGCTAAGAATCTTCTGGTCACCCTAACAGGGAGAATCAGGACTGGCAAGGCTATGTAGCTGTATTGCAAAAAACGTGGTGTCCAGATCTACCCAGCAGGGCTAATAGACAGACATTAACAAACAAATCTAAGCTAAACAGACAAGGAGTCGACCTCCTTCTCCTACCCCCTCAGACGGTTGCACAAATGGATGCAAATATGTATCCCATGAAAAGGGATAGTAGCTTTGACCCAGACACGAACCAGCTAAGAACAGGTAAGTGCCCCTCCAGCTAGACTAACATTTCCCAATTCTGGGGCCCACCGTTTGGCTCTTAAGTCCACGCTGGACTCAGTGGGAGATGCTCAGCATCTCTGAGAATCAGGTCATGCATGGAAGCGCCTAAGGTGATGTCCCACAGCCAAGCTGAGAAACATCAGCTTCAGTCTTGGGGCAAGACTGTGACCATTCAATTCACTGGGGAGCACTTACTCACACAAGTAATCCTACTGAATTCAGTGGGGCTGCTCAGAAACTTTTGCTTGCCAAAAAGTTAGGAAGGGGGTCACAATCTAAGTCTTACGCTATGGGATTTAAGGCCCTGGATTCAGCAAAGCACTTAAGCACTGCTTGGCTGAACAGAGAAGGAATTAAGCATGTGCTTAACTTTAAGCACAAACTTAAGGGCTTTGTTGAATCTGGGCCTAAATGCCTGACAATCCTGGTTCACCTGGAGAAGGAGATGACAGAAGAGACCGCTATAAAGCCAGAGAGTACAGTGCAATACATAACAGTAAACCCAGCCACTATGTGGCTCCAAAATTAAACAGAGGGTGAGAGAGCTTGATGAACGACCTAAACAAGGTCAGGAATCAGAACACATACTCTTTAAGAGTCTAGCCTTCACCCGCCTCAGTGTTTTAAGATAACTGCCTGTGTGCCCATATTCTCCCAGCACAGCACAGGACACAAAAGGTAACGGAAACCTCTGTGATGTGTTGGTTTGAGTATTGTGCTGTCAGCTAGGCAATCAACGCAAAATATCCCGAAATAAGGGGGAAAGGAAAGATGGGCTAAGGCAGGAGACTGCGATTCAGGGATCTGAGTTCCCAGCAATGCTACAGACTCCCTGCGAGACCCTGGGCAAGTCGCTTAGTCTCTCTGTAAGTTCCTCATCTCTACAATGGGGGTTATGTTACAGCCCATTTCCCATCCGTTGTCTGTCTAGATTAGTTATACTGTAAACTCCTCAGGGTGGGGATTGGCTCTTAATGTGTATTAGCACAGCGACTCGCACAGTGGGGACCTGACCTCAGCTGGGGTCTCTAGGTGTGACTGGAGCACTAATAAAGAAAGCCATTAGACAGTCTTACCTAAGCATCCTTTCATTGGCCTCTTCCTCCACATCATCTGAGCTGCAGGGGACAACGCCGAAGGAGCCTAAAGGCTGGTGTGTGATAGGGAAAGCAGCCTGCTTTGAAGAGAAGCCAACCACGGCAGGAGTCTCTTTGAGCACCGAAGAAAAGGGAAGACACGTGGCTGTGCAAGAAACAGACAGGTTAACCACCTCAACGGCCTTTCGACTCTCCAGTGCCAATCCCTCTGTGGCAACAGAGTGAAAGCCAGTGCTGCCGTTAGCCACAAGCCGACGCTCCACCCTGTCCAGCTCCTGAGGATATTCGGCACAATAAGGTCCTGCAGCAGAATCCAACAGTGCAGCTGCGTCGTCGAGTTCAATTTCTTGTAAGCCCTGCATTTCTTCACATGACATCATGGTTTCACTGGCGACGGGGCTACCACACTCTCCTCTGGTTGAACCAAATTCAGTCGATGTCTCCGATGAGGCTGGAACAGTGTAGCAAAAATCTGGTACCTGGCTCAGGCCACGTGAGAAATTCTCGATGTCTGGTGTGCTAACTCTGGAATAAAAGTCTTGACCTATTTTCAACCCCTCGAGTATGGGTTTAAGTGCATCTTTCAGATCCTCACTACATGCACCGCACTGCACGCTACTAGGATCTGAGTATGTGGTGACACTCAGTGTTTCCAAGCTGCTCTCTTCGTTACTCTGCACTGCCTGGCATTCAGAGGTATCCCATCTGTGTTGCTTTAGACTGACAGGTTGTCCTGCATATTCCAAACCTTCCTTAACTTCCACTTCTTCTGGTCGCTCAGCGCTGCTGTTACCTCGTTTGACAGCAGCGCTAGGATGCGCTCCTGTGGCGATGTCCGGTGCTGATCGCTCACTTTCCCTGGCAGTCTGGTAGTCAGAAAAGTTCCCTGCTATTTCTATGCTTCTGCACGTCACTTCCATGTAGCTTTTCAAGGGCCCTTCCACAACTTCCAAGATTGCTTTATCGCATTTGGAAACATCTACCGTGTCTGTGGGCTCCTCCGGGCTGCTGATCTGTGGCGCAGAAACGGATTTGGTCAGCTTTGTAAGTTCCACTTCCCGCTCTTCTTCCTCAAATGGCAATGAGCTAATTGATGTCAGCGATGCTTGGATGCCACTGGGCAAGCTTGTATTGCTTTCTGTTTGCCCACCCTCTAGGGAGTTTCTGTGTATGGTGTGCCTCCGTACCAGCTGCTGCAGCATCTCGCGGTCACTGGGCAGCTCCAAAGCCCGGCTACGCGCATCGGACCAAGCCACCGAACTGGGTTCACTTTCAATGCCCGAGTCGGATATTATTGACGAAGATCTCTTTATGACCCCTGACATCAGGGTAAACTCTTCGCATTCCTCAGCTCTTTGCTCCTTCACAAATGACTTCAGCTCTGGGGCATCTTTTGTTGTCTGGGTTAATAAATCCAAAGTACTGATTGGTAACGCTTTCAAAACCGGTAACAGAGCCTTGTTGTCTTGATCCACTGGTTTTTCAAGACTGTTTAGTTCATTTAATGCAAGTTCATCTGAAGTGAGACTATTTTCATAATTATCAGTTTTAGCTGCTTTACTTAACTCAGTGCTGTGTAAGAGGCCGCTAGTTTCGCTGTCACCCAGAGCACTAATGATTAATGTGGGTTCGCTTTCATGGGAATCCTTATTGCTAGGTTTCATATCCACGCATGTAACACCTGTAGCAAGTCTATCATCTTTTAATGAAATATCCACTGATGTTTGGAAGTCTTCGGCTTTGTGTTTTAAAAGGCCTGGTCCCAAGCCAGAAACAATTTCCTTACTTGAAACTGATGCATTTTCATGGGATACATCCATTTTCCTTTGGACTTCCTTTTTGACTGTATAAGCCTGAGATGTGGAGTCCTGAGTCAAAGCTTTAGCCGTATAAGCATCAACTGAAATATCGCTGTAGATACAGGAGGCATTCCCATTTATTTTATCTGTATGTATTAACAGAGTATCTTTTCTGAAATCTCCGTTTGCTAATGTAATGTCATCATTCGATGCAAGAGCCTCCTTGTTGTTTATTAAGTCCATTTGTGTACCATTCATCTCAGGAACCTCACAAGCTGGGAAAACATCCACACTTTGACCTGAAAGGAAAAAAAAAGTTCATGGCCTATACAAGGAATCAAAATATTTGTAGGTGATTATACACACGCACAGCCTCTCACGTCCACACCGTACATATACATGCCTGATCACCATTCTTTAAGCTGCATTCACTGTTAACTGTTATGCTCACTACATGGTTAAACTAAAATCACTTAGAGCTGTGAGTGCTAAGTACCTCCCCAGTGTGACCACTTGCAACACGGATAGTTTAAAAAAAAATCCTGTTAAATACTTGGTAAAAAGTCGAGGAAAATTGAGAATTACAGATATCTTTTTGTAAAATAAAACCACAGATCTTAGTACCTTACAAAAAAAAAAGTATTAGTGCCAATAAATTGCTTCCTTTATCACCTCTCTAGATTTCATGTTCCTGTAAGCTGCAGATGAAATATTTTATAAAGGATTTTCCTACCACTAGATGTCACTCTAATAATGAAAACCACAACCTTATTTTCCCTTAATGGCTGAAATGAAAACTCCAGGGGGGGTTGTTTCCGATTTTACCTCCAGTTCTTGGAATTAAACTGTTAATCTTAAAAAATAACAAAAACACCTCATAGAAAGAAAATGTCTAAGTAACAGGAAGTGTATATATTGTAATCTACTAGGGTGACCATATGTCCCGATTTTATAGGGACAGTCGTTGGGTCTTTTTCTTATATAGGCTCCTATTACCCCCCACCACTGTCCCGATTTTTCACATTTGCTGTCCGGTCACCCTATAATCTACTGAAACAACAGGGGACATTAGGTATCATAAGCAGAATCATTCACACCATGTTGAATCCTGACCAGAAAACATGCCCCAACTCTAGTGAGACGTTCCATAGGATCTTTATTGACCAAAAGTAGTAGGGAAAACCTTGGTTTTATGCCTCATTTAAAAGATGGAACCTGAAGCAACCATAAAGCCCTCTAACACCACATTGGAGGACTGGTTCAGGACCGTCTAAGGGTACGCGAACCTACCGACCCACCCACACCACTTCTTGCAATTTCCTGGGAGCAGCCCTGCCCCTGCATTGCCTGTGAGATGCGCTGAGGGCACAGCCCGAGGAGCATTACTCACTTTTGTAAGGGAAGTCCACATATCTGTCTTCAAAAATCACAGGGACTGTGTTCCCATCCCCGTCAATGTCCAGGCATTCGGCCGGCAGAGGGGGCATGCTGGTGAGGTACTCGGAATTCCGAACGTCCGTAGAAATCTGGCTGTGACTTTGAATCCTGAGAGCAAGACACGGAGGGAATCAAGTGTGGGATGAATTACTGTTCAGCCTCGCCAGCATTCACCTCATCTAGTCAGCAAAACAGATTGAGTATGACCAAAGCACTGGCCAATGCTTTGAAATACAGGTGCTGAAAATTAGATGCCTAAGTCCATATTTAGGCACTAAGCAAATGGGGTAGTATTCAGAAATGCTGAGCAACCACATTCACAGAAGGGAAGAGTGCTGGGGAGTAAACAGGAGGGAGGTGTTCAGCACTTGGCAGACATGCTGAACAGGAGAAAACATTAGCATTGGACACTGCATTATTTATATTGAGCCTGTCTGCTGAGCTGAGTGGATTTGCAAGGAGCCTTTTCTTGTGGTGCCTCCACACCTTTTGCAGCCCTTTGCGCTCTTCTTACTGCTGCAGTGTCTCCTCCTTTCTAGCAACTCCTGGGGAGCAAGCCACCCCAAAAGGGACAAAGGTGACTGGGGAAAATGCAGGGTCATGCTCCCTCTTGGATATACAGAGAGAGGGGTGCACACTGTGACATCACAAGGAATGCTTCCCGTGTATGCCCTATAACAGCAGAGAGGATTATGCCTCACTACCTTCTAGAGCTTCCCCTGGGTGGTGTGGCCCTGTACCAGTTTCCTGGCAGGGCTGTAGCTAAGTGATGCAACTGAACCCATTATGGGCCTGGTTTACTGAGGTGCTTATTACCCATAACTCTCATTGACTTCAGTTGGAGTTGTGGACACTCAACACTTCAGAAAATCAGTTCCAAATATCTCCATGTGATGGAACCAGAGTCCCCGCATAGCTTCTCACAGGAATCACTAGAGAAATTGACCCGACTCCATTTGTTCAGAACTTGGTGCCCACTCAGCTTCTCCTAGAAATGATGGCTTCGAGAAAGGCACCCTGTCTCCTCAGAGCTCATGACCCAGCAGCTAGAAGGCTGGCATCTTCCTTTCAAGGTGTGCAGTCTGCCTTCCTATGTATTATGTCACCTACTGGGTTGTGTGGGGTGCGATGCCATGTGTTCCCTTCCACTAGTTGTGATATTCAGGATACGGGTGTTCTGAAAGCTGTAACCAAATTGCCTTGCTCCTCTCAGTATCATCCCTATAATTGTTTTAATATTAATTTAACCTATTCTTAAAGTTTAACTTTAAAAAACTCTCAGTGAAAAAACATGAGAGAAAATAGACTTATTACAAAGCGTAGTGAAATTTTCAACTGCGAGTGTAGGCAAACAATGGCAAAGGCTTCCATATGCTCTCTGAGGACCCAGTCCTCATGGGAGTTTTGCCTCTAAGGACTGCAGGCGCAGACCCATGGATTGCATTGCATTGCGGTGAGGGAAGCAAGGAAAAGGACAGATTCTGCGCACCACCTCCGGAGAGATGCAGCACAGGGGGAAGAAGGCTTTATGCCATCTTTGCACTGCCTGGGTTCCAGCGTTGGCGTAAGTACTGATAAAAGGGACATAACTATAAGAGCCAACCACTCCATTACGGAAGTATTATACACATGGAAATGGTGCAAATGGTACTGATGCATTTATAAGTACAAGTGCAAGTACTTTCAACTACTGTATTCCCTGCAAGACCCCCCCACCCCACCCCCCACGAGGCTCCCAGCTGTGTATTGCAGTGACCATTCAGAAGAGAAAGGCGTGGAGCCGCCACTCTCCCTGGCTAGTGCAACAGCCGGGCCAATGTGAAAAAGCTCTGGCAGCCGGAACTCAGATCTGAAGCTCCCAAGCCAGACTGTGGGTTCTGGGGGCCAGCCAGAATCTGGGACAGTTGGGAGGAATGTGATTGTTTCAAAATATTAGTTTGAAAAACTATTTGCAGATTAAAAAAAAGTGACTTATGTTTTAAGAACCTTTAAACTGTATTTAAATACAAATGCTAAGTACGGAATATTTAAAGTGCTTACCTACAAGTATGTGGAATACTTCAAAACACGTACTTAAGTACCAAGACACTCAAGTACTTGGGGACACTGCAGGATTCTGCCTGCAGCAGAGACTGGTTTGGCTCATGGAGTCAGTCTGCAAAGCTCCAAGGACTATTCTAGTTTGCGGCAATCTTACTCAGCTGCCTATTGCCTGCTCTGCAGCCCAGAATCCACCATAGTGCAGAGTGCTATGTGCACACCCCCTTCCACCCCAGATCTGCCCCCTCCTGCTCTAAGCACTACCCTGGCACAACTCTTCCACCAGGGGGCAGTGTAAGGCCCTGTACTGCTCTTCTGTCAGAGGAATTTCCCCCCATCCTGCAGAGGGCCCTTGTCAGTCTTCTCTTGAAACTCTGGGGTGAAGAACTGGCCCAGAAATGGCTAGTGGCTATTATACTCTTCCTGCTCCAGAGCTGAATGACATGACAACTGCCAGGGGAAGTGGAGAACAGGCGAAATACAACCAATTAATTTTCCGTGTACTGGTTTTATCCCTGGCTTGTCTCATATGGCAACTACCAGAGAGCTGCAGTGGAGGATTAGAAGCAACTGAGACAAAATGTCTCAGGGGTTTTCTGTATAGAGTTTTGGGGCGTGGCAAGCCAGGGTGTTAATCTAGAGCACACTAACTTGCCACGCACTGAGTGGCACTCGGAAGACCCTTCTGCATGGCAGTCTCTTCCTTCCCCACATAACTTAATGATTGCTTCATGCCCAGAATCAAGGAAATGGATCTCCTTGTTATACTCTAATATAGCTGTGGATGTTCTCATTATCCATATAAAGACCTAATTCTTGTTGGAATCATACGAAATTTTGAGCCTTGGTTAGATCTTGTGGCAGTGAGTTCCACAAATTAGTGATGCATTGTGAACAAAAGTATTTCATTTTGTCACTTACACATGTGGTGGCTTTTCAGTTTTGCTGAATGTCCCCTTGCCAAAATTCTTCCCAGTCAAGCGGGAAAGCATGTTTCAAATGTGAGATTATTTTATTTGGATCTTTCTTTAGCTAGTCTATGTATTCTAACCAATAGAGATGAAGACAACACAAGCTTTCAAGAGATGGCATTAGCTGGCAGCAATATGGGACAGGTTCCACAGAACAGAGCTGGTGCAGAAGTGCACATATTTCAGATTTCCTTCAGGGAAACACAGTTCATCACCATGTAATAAGTGGAAACGACAAACTTTGTACATGGCAGGGAGAAGAAATGGATCATGCTAACTCAAACAACAGGCTTGTAAACATATTCTTCAATTCTCATGCTAATGCAGATCTCTGTATCCCAGACAAGTGCCCTCTCATGCCTGACATTTCCCCTTCAACTTAGGGGGGGAGGGATAGCTCAGTGGTTTGAGCATTGGCCTGCTAAACCCAGGGTTGTAAGTTCAATCCTTGAGGGGGCCACTTGGGGATCTGAGGCAAAATCAGTACTTGGTCCTGCTAGTGAAGGCAGGGGGCTGGACTCAATGACCTTCAAGGTCCCTTCCAGTTCTAGGAGATGGGATATCTCTATTTATTATAACTTGACTTTGGCTGTTTCACAATTATTTGGGTCCAACTGTTCAACCATAAATCCTGTCAAGTATGAGAGGGGTAGCCGTGTTAGTCTGGAGCTGTAAAAAGCGACAGAGAGTCCTGTGGCACCTTATAGACTAATAGACGTAGTGGAGCATGCATCTGATGAAGTGGGTACTCACCCACGAAAGCTTATACTCCAATACATCTGTTAGTCTATAAGATGCCACAGGACTCTTTGTTGCTTTTTTCATAAATCCTGGTTTGCCAGAAGCTGGGAATGGGTGACAGGGGGTGGATCACTTGATGATTACCTGTTCTATTCATTCCCTCTGAAGCACCTGACATTGGTCACGGTCAGAAGACAGGATACTGGGCTAGATGGACCTTTGGTCTGACCCAGTATGGCCGTTCTTATGTTCTGGTAGAATAATTAAATAAAAGGACCCACAAACTTGACGGCCATCCAGACTCAAGTAGGGCATGTGCAGTAGCTACCTGGTTTCTCTTGCTAGCACACCAGCCCTGTCCTTGATTTTTAGAGTGAATTCCTGGCCCCATTCAATTTACTGACAAAACTCCCATTGACTTCAATGGGGCCAGGATTTTACCCTTAGTGTTTGAAAGTAACATGTAAAGGTAAAGATCTAAAAGTAACATCTGTATGCGTTCCTTTTTGGCACTGAAATCTGTGCCACCTGCAGCAGTAAGAGAAACAACGAAGTCGGTAGCAGAATTCCATGCAACAGTCTGTATTTAATTTAGGAATCATCACGTCCGTGCTAATATCAGAAATAGTATACTTAAGACTTAAAATGCTGACAGACAAAGCACAGTCTAGTTGCTGGGAATCAGGAGACTAGGGTTCTTTCCCGAACTCTGCCACTGACCTGCTGTGTGACCTTGAGGAAGTCACTTTGCCTCTCTGAGCCTCAGTTTCCCCATCCACCCTTTGTCTGTTTGTCTATTTAGAGCATAAGCTCTTTGGGGTAGAGGCAGTCTCTTTTTATATGTTTGTAGAGCATCTAGCACAAGGGGGACCTGATCTCAATTGTGCCATGTAGGTACTAGCATAATAAAATTGCCACTAATAAGCCTGTGACGATCAGGCCTTATTCATCATCATGTATATAGTGCCAGAGACATGCTAGATGCTTCACAGACATAGAGGAAACAGGACCCTGCCCTGAGGAGCTTACAGATTAAAGACACTGTGAGTGTCTACAGTCTAACTCTTGTTCTACTCAGCTTCCACGACAGTTAAGGAAGAAGTTAGCTCTATTTCATAGAAAATGGGGCTAGTTTCACTGGTGCCAGTCCAATAAGTGTAAGTGAAACATCTTTGTACCAGCACGGCTCCCCTTCTGCTCCAGGACTGTTTGCCCAGACAGAGCAGAGTTACTGTTGATGCCTCCTTCAATGTTGATAAATGCAAAGTAATGCACATTGGAAAACATAATCCCAACTATACATATAAAATGATGGGGTCTAATTTAGCTGTTACCAATCAAGAAAGAGACCTTGGAGTCATTGTGGATAGTTCTCTGAAAACATCCACTCAATGTGCAGCGGCAGGCAAAAAGGCGAACAGAATGTTGGGAATCATTAAGAAAGGGATAGATAATAAGACAGAAAATATCATATTGCCTCTATATAAATCCATGGTACACCCATATCTTGAATACTGTGTGCAGATGTGGTTGCCCCGTCTCAAAAAAGATATATTAGAATTGGAAAAGGTTCGGAAAAGGGCAACAAAAATGATTGGGGTATAGAATGGCTTCCGTATGTGGAGAGATTGATAAGACTGGGACTTTTCAGCTTGGAAAAGAGACGACTAATGGGGGATATGAAAGAGGTCTATAAAATCATGACTGGTGTGGAGAAGTTTTATTTACTCCTTCTCATAACACAAGTACCAGGGGCCACCAAATGAAATTAATAAGCAGCAGGTTTAAAACAAACAAAAGGAAGTATTTTTTCACACAATGCACAGTCAACCTGTGGAACTCCTTGCCAGAGGATGTTGTGAAGGCCAAGAATATAACAGGTTTGAAAAAGGAACTAGATAAATTCATGGATGATAGGTACATCAATGGCTATTACCCAGGATGGGCAGGGATGGTGTCCCTAGCCTCTGTTTGATAGAAGCTGAGAAGGGGGGCCGGGGATGGATCACTTGATGATTACCTGTTCTGTTCATTCCCTCTGGGGCACCTGGCATTGGCCACTGTTGGAAGACAGGACATTGGGCTAGATGGACCTCTGGTCTGAACCAGTATGGCTGTTCTTATGTTCTCCCTCAAGGGTGCTGATATAACAGGAAGCTATAGTCTATATTTGGGGCTCCATATGAGAGAATGAGCTGAACGGTCACATCTGGGGCCCCTCTGGCCATGTCTCCTTCACAGATGAGCACTACCCACTTTCGTAGGCTGGGCTGGCCCTATACAACCATCCACCCAAGCACAACTGAGGTTGTGGCTGCCTTGCGCTGTTTCTCTTTACAATGTGGTAGACTGTGCACTGCATCTGTCCCCATGTCTCTAGTTACAGCTTTGAAGAGGGCATCGTTATATGGAATCCCCATCTATGGCCCTGCATGCTGGCACAATCTGTGGCACTATCCCTAAACGATTTCTGAAAGACATGTCTCCAGTCTGATAAATTCCAGCAATGGGGGCTTCACAGTCCCCCTGGCCAATCTGTCTCACTGCAGAACTCTTCTAAAACCGCAACATTTTCACTAATCTTTCATCTAAGTCCTTCCTGCTGTACAATAGCATCAGCCCAGCACATCTGCTTCTTGACTCACTTGATTAATGAAAATAACTGCCCCCTGCTCCATCGCTAACATCTCTGATCATGTTTGCGAGCAGATATTTCCTCCTCTCCGCCTGGTTTTCTGCAGAATGAGCCTGGCCCTCCCTTAACATTTCCCCAGACAGTGCCTAGTTTCGCCTCATCTTTTATTATTTTTGTTGCTTTCCTCTGAACTCTCCTCTAAATGAGCTAAGAAGTGGAATCCTGCCTGCAGTCAACTCCAGGTAACCCAGCTGAAGGCAGCAGGGTTGTTCAGGTGCAACCCAGGGCAGAATTTGGCTCTAAGTATTTTAAAAATCATGGGGGGTCCCAATTCTGTTGGGGCCTAAGCAGAAGCGTCAAGCAGAGGGAAATAATGACCTTGCTTGCTATCCAGAACACACTTCTTTGAATACAGCCCAGTACTGGATTTATTTTCTTTGACAGCCTTCCATTGCTAATTCTCCTGCAATTTATCATCCACTCTGAGCCCCACTATTACCAGCACCAACCCGGCATTCTGCCCATTCTGAGCCGTCAGTTTCTGAACTGCGTCACCCAGCTCCAGCGCTCATGTTCAAGGCTTTGTGTTAACCACTGATGAATGGTTCATGGCTCTATCCTGTCTGCCTTCCCAGATCCTCCCAGCACTACCATGGCTGCACCCAAGAGAGTTTCACCCACTTGGGGACAGTGGGGGGAGAAAAGAGTTTTTCTGACCATTTGGCACTTGCTGTCGCCTCAGTGCAGGACTTCAGCCTCCATCATGCTTTAGACCACAAGCCTTAAAAAAAAACCCACCTGCCAATCACAGGTCTCTGAAGATTACAACTCTCGGGGGCCTGATCTGGATCTTGCATTGTGTAATTTTTTACCTTGACTTCAGTGGATTTACACTGCAGTGAGATTAAAATAGACCCGATGCCTTCTGTATGGAGTACAAATGCCCACTGAAGATCAAGGAGGAAGGGCATGGATTTGCATCGGAAAGGATAACGTGGTGGCATGGGGTCTGGTTTTAAGAGACCACATGCTTGCAGGGCCCAAGTGCCAGGGATGGGAGATGTAAGGAATTACTTACAGGCTTTCCTGAAAGGTCAGCACAGCTAGCTTTTGGTGCTCGGCATAAAAGAATGCTTCTGAGAATCTTCTTACCTGGGTATGAAACACAAAGGTTACACGTTAAAGCCTTTTAAAGACACCAAGTGCATGCAAACCTGCTCCAGCTGCTTTGCATCACTCTGGTGACACAAGGAAGCTAGGAACCCAGGGTGCTCAGCCAATTCAGCTGGCTTTCTGCTTTGTTTTGCTGGAAGCAGCCAGTGTGTGTAGGTAAATATGGCCTGAGATGTTCAAAGCCTCTTAGGATTGAAGACACAGCCCTTGGAAATATTTTGGAATCTCTTCCAATGTACCTGCTGTTTCTTTGTTTAGAAGCAGCACATCTGTTGAATTTAAAAGTCCTCTCTGTAGCTTTAAAACTAGGGTCGCTAATTCCCTTTCCCGACAGCTGACATGGCAGTAGCGCAGTTGCTAAATGAGGAAAGTCAATAATCAATGGTATATTCTGCACAAAGTAACTCCCAGTCTTACACATGTACACAGAGGGGAAGAAACCCTCCATTATCAGAAACACATACATGCGTGCCATGATATCTGCAAATTCAAGTTTTCCAAATTTTTGCACGGACATTGGAGAGAACAATTCAGCCATGGACAATCGATTGTGAAATAGTTGCAGGTTTGAAATGATTTGCAGAGCACTTAGTATGAAAACATACACTCCTAAAGAACGTGGTACTGCTATCTGCTCAGAAATAAGCTTTGACTTTCTATGCACTCCAACAAGATACGTAATCAAATCAATTAAGACTCTAGTCCTTATGTTACTGCTGTTATTTGTAAAATACAGCATCGTAGAATGGCAGCAGAAAGCATGCAAACAAAATTACAACATCCCCCTAAACCTCCAAGCTGTGTTCTGACAAATGGCCTTTCTAAAATAATAGATTAC